CCCAGGCGGAGGCAGAGCCCCGCGGGCCGGCATGGCGGGCCAGTTCCGCAGCTACGTGTGGGACCCGGTGCTCATCCTGTCGCAGATCGTCCTCATGCAGAACGTCTATTACGGCTCTCTGGGCCTGTGGCTGGCGCTGGTGGACTGGCTGTTGCGCGGCAGCCCCTCGCTGGACCAGATGTTCAACGCCGAGGTAGGGTCCTCGGGCGGGGTCTCGGCCTCACGGAGTGAGCTTTGTGGCACACCACCCCTGGGCTCTAGACCTGGCTGGACCACCTTCTAGCTTTGTGGCTCTGGAGAATGGATCGCACCTTGCTGAGCCTCTGCTGCCCCATCTGTAAAATGGAATGGCTGATAAGAGAGAGGCTGAGTTATGATTTAATACAAAGGAAAGGGGCTGGGTGTTATAACAAACAGGCCAGCGTTCTAGGCAACCCGATACATCTCCTTTCTGACACTCTTGAGAAAGTGACTTCAATTCTCTGAGCTCCAAGATTCTCAGGTGCCAAATTGGGGAAGGGGATGGGTAAAAGAGTATTCAAGGAGGCGTAATGGAAACTGCCTGGACTTTGAAGTCAGGCCTCCGTTTAAGTTCCACTGACTAGCTGTGTGACTTGAGGCAAGTGTCGTCCTATTTCTGAACCTCAGTTTTTCTGTTTGCAAAATCATGAGACCAATAACAGAGAGGTCATGGACTGCAGTACAAAGAGCCTGTACTTTTGTTTCAAAAAGGCTAAGTATTCAATCTGGGCCCAAACATACTAGCTATGAGATTTTGGGCAAGTTGTTTCACCTTTAGGAGCCTGTTTCCTCTTCTGGAAACCAGACAGAATAACCCTCAGCAAAATGTTATGAGGTCCAAAGGAATAAGAAACTACTCTATAAGGTGTAGTGGGGGCCTCAGAGGTGTCTGCATCTGAGAGGCAGCTGTGGTGTCTGGTAATGAGCACTGTACTTGAAGCCTCGAGACCTGGGATGGAATCTTTACTTCTGTTGCTTATGCTCTGTGTAGCCCTTGGGTAAGTTCTATCCAAAAAGAGGTAAGAGTAACAACAACAAAAGTAATAGCTCTGTGAAGTTGTTTTGAGGATAGTATGAAATTATGGATATCAAAGGCCTTTGCATACTGAAAGCGTTGTGCAAATGTTTGGTATTCAGTAGTATTTCGTCAAGAGTGGTGAAGGTCGCACACCCATAGGTGCCCGGCAGTCCCCTCTTAGTAGCCTGTGTCCTCCTGAGAAGGGTATTGGGCATCCTGCACTTTGTTGAAGGGCCATCTCATGCACACACAACCTGAATTCTAGACCAGGGGTGGGTCAACCTTTTCTTAAAGGATGAACTAGTAAAGATTCTAAGTCATAACTACTCAACTTTGCCATTGTAGCAAAAAAGGAGCCATAGACAATACTAAGTGAATAAGTGTGGCTGTGCTTCAATAAAACTTTGTCAAAATAGGTGCCTGGCTCCTGGGGCCATAGTTTTCTGAGCCCTGTTCTATACCTTGCTCTTGCTTTTTACTTACTATATCACTTTGGGCAAGTTACTTAACTTCTCTGAGCTTTTATTCCTCCTTTGTAAGATGAGAGTTCATAACGCCTTCCTGGCTGCTGTGAGATTCAAATGGGATGCCATAATGGATGTTTGTGAAAGCACCTTGTGGAAATAGGCTGTCATAGAGATGAAGGGGCATAGTGTCTTCTGTGCTCTGGGAAAAGTTCCTTAGGAGGCTGGCTGAGGTCCTGGAGCCTGGGGCTCTACTAAGTCATTTCTCCAGTATGTTTCCATTTGTGATTCCCCCTCAGATCCTGGGCTTTTCAACCCCTTCAGGCCGGCTCTCCATGATGTCCTTCATCCTCAACGCTCTCACCTGGTGAGTATCACCAGTTTTGCTGTCCAGCTTTTGGGGTCTTAGCACTGGAACTAACTTCCTAAATTTGGACATGAGACAGGCTGGCATTTGTTCCTGGGGAGGAGACTAAAGTGGGTGGCAGAGGCCAGTTCTGGGACTGACTCCATCACAGGGCTCCTTTCATCGCTGTTTGAACTTATCTGGAAAGCTCTGTGTCACTGTGTGCATGCTGCCTGTGGGACAGCATCTGTCTCAGATCACTTCCCTGATGTGGAATGAGGTGAGGAAAGGATCAGATTGAGAGTCAGGAGAACTGAGTTCTATTCTTGGCCCTGTGACACTAGCCAAGTTACTTCCTTCCTCTCTGGGCCTCCGGCTTCTCATCTGTACACTGAAGGGTTTCACTAAATAATGCCTAACATCACTCATGACCATTACCTTTCTCTTGAGAGGCAGGTTAGCATAGATTAAGATCTCAGGCTCCAAAGGCAGACACACTTGGCTTTGAACCTCAGCTTTACCACTAGTCTAGTGACTATGGACAAGTTAATCTGTCTAAGCCTCAGTTTTGTCATCAGTAAAAATGAGGCTAATAATATTATCCATTTCATAGTTGTAAGGATTAAATGAGCTAATTCATGGAAGTACTTAGAATAATACCTTACACATTACTACTTTTGACCTTACACTGGGGGTTGACAATTGGTGGGCTGACTCCAGTTTGGCTCCCAGATATGTCTGTTTGGCTTACACAGTGTCAGTACATGTATGGTGTTTAAAACATTTTTCCACTTAGTTGAAAGGATATTTTATATTAAAAAATCCAGACTTCTAGCTTCTCTTGAAAAGTGGGAGGATTGATTCTAGGCCAGACTTCTAGCATGCTGATTTACCCAGCTGCAAGTAGCTCTTGTTTCCACTTTAGATGGAACATGTATGCTTCATTGTGCCTCAATCCCCACCAATTTCTAGGATTTCCCTGAGTGACAGTTGCCATTTATCATCAAGCTCGTACTTTTGTTTTTCTTCTACCCAGCCTGACTCACTCTCAGCATTACTTGCTAGGTTCCTCTGAGCATCTAATAATGTAACCCTTGCTTCTCACTTATCTCGCTTGCTTCTGATCTCTATGCTGTCATCCTAATTGTCCCCACTCCCCACATAACCTAATCTAAGGCCAGGACAACCCAGTGACAACTCACTGCTGTCCTCTCCCCACAGTGCCCTGGGCTTGCTGTACTTCATCCGGCGAGGGAAGCAGTGTCTGGATTTCACTGTCACTGTCCATTTCTTTCATCTCCTGGGCTGCTGGTTCTACAGCTCCCGTTTCCCCTCGGCGTTGACCTGGTGGCTGGTCCAAGCTGTGTGCATTGCGCTCATGGCTGTCATCGGGGAGTACCTGTGCATGCGGACGGAGCTCAAGGAGATCCCCCTCAACTCAGCCCCTAAATCCAATGTCTAGAATTGGGTCCTTTGGACACCCTGCTGGGCAGTTGTGCCCCCCCAACATGTTGGGTTGCTCGGACCTTCTAGATGAGGTCCAGCCCAGGTCTGAGAGGAACCCTGGAAATGTGAAGTCTGTTGGTGTGGGAGAGATAGTGAGGCCCTGTCAAGAAGGCAGGTAGCAGTCAGGATCACAGCTACAAGAATGGCCTCGTCTGCTGAAGCCTTGGTATGTGGGAGGTCAGCAAAGGGACCTCTTTCAGGGTAATAACAGAATTGGAACCATGTCACTCTTGAGCCATCATACCTGTCACCAGCCTGTTGTTTTAAAAAAGAAAAAAATCAAGGATATCTGATTGGAGCAAACCACTCTTCTAGTCATCTGTCTTATCTCCCTAGGACAGCTGTTATCTTTGTCATGTTGCCGAACCGCAGCTATTCTGTTTGGAGAATCACTTGGTGCCTGGATTCATAGCCACAGAAAAAGATGTAGGTGCAAAGTATTAGGCTGCTCTCAGGGAGAGGACAGCAGATGGAGGCAATCAAGCACAAAGAAAATGCACAGCCTGTGTCCTGCTACATGCATGTGTGTGTGCACCCATGAACCCATGACTGATTTCCAGTTTTCTCTACTGGGTCCCCACCCTGCTGCCAGCTTTCAGCATAATAGGCCTTAGGACCCAGAGAAGAGTCCCAGCATTGCTCTCAACCTAACCCTCGCAATAGAATCTCTGGGAATGATCAGGCACCTCAGCTCCCACTGACGTCAGCTCTGGCAGTAGGTCCTTTTTCCTGACTTATTTGGAATTCTGCAGTGGGAGGGGTATGAGGGGCGCACAGAGACAGGAAGCCCAATCTTCCAGCTCAACCTGCACTGACAGGGCTGAGGGAGATAGGAATTTGCTGTTAAGATTTTTCTTGGGAGTGGAGTGTCCTCTGTGAGGGGCTTGCAGCTGTCCTTCCTATGTACATAAATACAGTATTTTCCACGGTTCTGCCTGTACTTACTTTGTAATGCCATGGGTGGGACTGTGAGAGATCAGCATAGCCAGGCAAGGGAGCTGTAGATAAAGAATTATTAGGTCACCTTCTCTTCTAGATCCAGATTATTCCTCCATTTGGTTAAAATATTAAGTGCAGGGAACTCCTATGTCCCACTCCCTCCACCTGCAGCCTCCTCTACTATATCTTGGGTGAACCGCCATGACTCTCAGGATTGCTTTCTCACTTGCTGGTGATTTCTGAACATGTCCAGTGGAATGCACTGGTCTGTACCTACTTCTGCATTGAAACCACTGGTGTTCCTATTTGGGTTCTCTGGAGTCTGCCCACGAGAGCTGTCAGTTCTCAGCTTTTAATGTTAGGGCTACACAGATGAGTTTTGCATCTCCCCAGGAAGCCTTTCTAGCCTCCTAGCCCCCTCCCCTCCGGAGTAGGGTGTTGAGGCTGACAAGATGAAGGTTTAAGAGTGAATGTGCCTGGGCAGAGGCTTGGGAAAGTGCTAGGGTGAGGCACCTCCGTAACTCAGGGTGCTCTGGCTAAGTTGGAAGCAGCTTTATAATAGATTCTGATCCTGGCTGCAGGGTCCTGGAGGCAAGACCAGCTGAGATGACTTCCCCTAGGTTGCTGGATTTTTCTCCAGACACCACAAACACCAAAGGCACGTGACTGACTATTTTGAGAAAGGCATCAGCACACTTATGGCTGCCATCTCCCTTGGTCACCTGTGGTGGTTGCTCCAAGGGTGATGGCATACCTCTTTGGGGGTTTCCTTCAGGAGCTTGTGCTCTTCTACGTATTTCCTGAGATGACAAATCTTTTTTGGATACTGCTGAAAGTCAGGAGAGCCAATTTAAAAAAAACAAAACACAATGACTGAGCCGAATGATGGGGTAAAAACATGTGACCTTCGTTATTTTATATATATATATATATTTATAAAGTAACAATAAAAGCAGTATCTAGAGGCAAGTTCCGGAGAGAATTGGGCAATGGCAGTGATGTCATTTTATTAATAAATAACATCTATTGAGTGCTTAACAGATGTCCACCAGTGGGCTAAGTGTTTTACATCTTCTTGCTCACTTAATCTTAACAATTTTCTGAAGTAGAAAATATTTTCTGTATTTTACAGATGAGGAAACTGTAAGGAATTTCCAAAGGTTACATGTTAGGAGCTGGCAGAGCCAGGATTTAGGCTTCAGTAGTGACATTAATAAACTTTCTGAAGACTTTAAATAGTTCAAGGATGTGTAAGTTCTTATTGGTTAAATAACCTATCACCTTATAATCATACTTCCACATCCTGCTATACTGTTTTAAATACTAAGGGTGTATACTGCTTTATAAAATTTTACTAGCTTTCCAAGAAAAACTGATATACATAAAATATGGTCACAGATTTCCAAGTGAACAGAGGAATGTAGGAAGTATTTTTATTTCCAAAGGATAAAGGAAAGTTACATCCACCCCACCACTGAGTTGTATCTCTTGACTTTCTAGGGGTCTGAAGTCTGGACCTCTCTTTATCCCACCCACTACCTGAACTCAGGCCATTTGCAGAGAAGTGGAGACTAGTGCATAGCAAGTGCTCAGAATAGTTTATAAGTCGCAAGTAGGATGGGAAAGGAGAAAGGAATGTGTAGCTCTGAGGGTGTCTCTAACTTCTAGTTCTAGGCAGTCCTGTCCAGATCAGAGCCAAATGGGGCCAGATGGCAGTCAGTAGACACTAGGGGGTGGGGTGGAAAGCTCCAGGTCCCCATGAGTCCTATGGAGAGCACAGCTCAAATAGGCACCCCTGGAAGCAGTTTATTAGACTTTAGACTCTTCCTTCAGCGACTCCCAGATCAGGGTAGCTTCCTTCTAACAGTCCCAGAAGGCAGTCAGAGTGCAGGCAAGGAGATCCTGCCCAAGGACAACAGAGCCTCAGGAGCTGGGGAAGTAGAGGCAGATTCAAGGCACAAGAGCGGCCCTCTGTGGAGAGGGACTTAAAAGCCACTGTTGTGCTTGAGGTTTTCTGTAGGAAATTAGTGAAGGGTGGTGCAAACAGCATTGAGATGAGGGGGTAGAGAGTTTTAGTCCCTGCCCTGCCTCTACCTGGGCAAGTCAGAATTCTAGGGCTCTAATATGGAAGGTTTTGGGGGGTTGTAATGGATTGCAGAGTTAAGTCCTGGAGTCCCATTACTAGCTGTGAGACCTTGGATAAGCTACTTAACCTTTCCCTACCTTGGTTTCCTTGTTTGTCAACTGAGGGTAATAATACTTCCCTGAGTGGTTGTGAGGATTCGCTGAGATGTCATGTGTAAAGCACTCTGTACTGGGCCTGGCAGTTATAGGAAGTGATCCATAAATCTGTTATAGTTACTGCCCCCTCCCCCCCAGTTGTACAGAGGACATACCTTTCTTCTGAGCCAGCAAGTATTGGGCTCCTATGTGCTGTGCACTGCAAAGTGACTTACATATATTTTCACTTAACCCAATGAGATAGGCACCATTATTTTCCTCATTTTGCAGACAAATCGAGGGTAAGGAGCTAGGCCTGTCTGCTTCTATAGCTTCATGTTTTCATGTTCCAGTCATGTTTGAGTGGTACATGATCCAGACAGGGAGAGGAGCAGTCTCAGGAATCCAGATGCCATTCTAGCAAAAGATTGTGAGCATAGGATTGGATTTTTAACAAGCAGCTAGTTCCCTTTAGTGGGCAGTTAGGCAGGTGCTCATAAGTGAGAAATGGCCAGTACCAGCCTTGGGGCTTCGTTATGGTGCAGGGCCATGGAAAATGGCCAAACATTTGTTCAGTACCCCACAATCAGTACCCCTTGCCTACATCAAGCCTGATTTTCTCAAAACCCTCTGGAATGGATATTAGTATCTCTATTTAATAAACAGATGAAATAGCCTCAGAGACTTGTTCAAAGCCACTCAAACACTTTAATCCCCCTCCCTGACCAGTTAGCTGTTAGGGAGCCATTTCTGGGATGGTTTCTAATCCTTGTTGCAGCCTCTTGCCCAAGTCAGGATCTGAGCCCAGAAGAGGAGCCACAGATTAAAGTGGTTAAACAAAGGGTGGGTATAGTGGGGAGCCCCCAATTGTGAGATTGTGGTAGGCAGATTGCCTGAGGACCAACTGCCAGTGCAGGTGGGGAGAAGGCTGGAAGAAGTGCACCTGCTAGGAGTCACTCATGCAGGTGGCCTGCATCCTTGCTCCCCTGAGGTGCCCTGGCAAGGTTGGGGCCCAGCCTGGGCACCCAGGTTCCTGTCTTCTTCATGCCATTCCCTGTGGGCAGTTCTGTCTCCTCTAGGGCAAAGCCAAAGCTGCTGATCTTTCCGTGCCCCCAGTTGGGGTTCCCTGGGTAGGCCCCCACAAAAAATAGTGCAGCCCCCCCCCCAACAGTTTTTTTTGGTTTGGGCTGGGAGGCGCACTGCCTGGACCCCAGCCTGCTGAGAACCTGCTGTGAGCACAAGACAGAAGTTCACCGCAGGTGGGATGAAGGAATGGAAAGTGCTTGAGAGGAAAGATCCAGTAGAGGTTATTTTCAAAGTTTGATGAGATTGATGACGTCCAGCAAGGGAACCAAAATGGAGACTCAGGAACTGGGCTGGGATGCAAGCTGAGCCGGAAAACAGTGTAAAGTGGAGGTTACTGGGTGGCTGTCACATGGAAGTGGTGGGGGCTGGGGATGGGCGGTGGGAGGG